GAGGGAGAGAGAGGGAGAGAGAGAGGGAGAGAGAGAGGGAGAGAGAGAGGGAGAGAGAGAGTTTAGAATTCCTTGATATCTCCGTTCTCGGTTTTTTTTTCATTCACCCCGCATCTTCCTCGTGCCTCGTGTTAATACAGCACATTAAGAAGAGTATTATGATGGTCAGAAAAATCAGTGGGACAAAATAATGACACAGGAAGACCGTTAAGTTGCCCGCACAACCGCGATTGACCGTGCACTGCAACAGGGGTAGATCTCTCAGCGTCAATAGTTCGACGCCGTCTGCCGCGGGCTGGACTGATGGCACGTATGCTATACTGCCATTTATTCAAAGCTGCCTCTGACAGGTCATAAACTGATACGGTGCTATCCAATCGAGACCTTACACCTCACTACAGTGACGTCACTATGATGGCGTTCATCCTTCAGATTGGATGACACCGAAACAACTTATTTATGTCCTGGACCGCGACGGAAAAATCGCAGTATAGTGCCCCGTCCTCCATTGTCCAGAAACTACGAACGCCACGTACTGCAAAGAGCATATGAATGCCGTTATTGGCATGGTGTAGAGCGAAATGCAGTGTTGCCACGTTCTGCATTCGCGTCCATTTAAATGTTGGCGCCTAACCTCTAATGCAGTATTATAAGCCCTCTAAGCCATCCTCGTTCAATTTGGAGTCTGGCGTTCTGAAGATCCAATTAACCGCCACACTAAAGGCAGAGGAAGACCCTGAGAAATCACGTTCTGCATTTAAGTAGTTCTCAACGGCGCTGCCAAAGCCCTGCGCTGCCTACGCAGGCCCAAGACGCTACGGATTCAAGGAATTTCAATTCCTCGAAAACACCAGTTTGCTACAAACATTGTAGAAACGCGGGCCAAGACTAGTTGTTGGTCACTATATTGGTTGTACACGGGGCAGAGAGTACTTTTTGCCCAGTATCAAGAGCTGTGTGACGTCATGGATACTCACAGCGAACACATAGCTTTCATATAACAAATAATTTACAAGAAAAACACAACAAATATTTACAATGAATTTACACTTTACATCCTAGCTCTGATAGACCTGCTATCCCTTGATAGCGGGAGCGTTCCCAACCCGACTGATGATCGGTTTCAATTGTGGCACTCGCCACTCCTACATCTGAAGCGCGCACAAAGCCAAACTTCCGTGACCGGATGTCACACTGGGACACAAAGTCCGTACCGGCGTACCAACTGATGGTTTGCCTCGATCGCAGGAGCGATCTTACTCGATTGAGAATCGACTCGAATCGTGGCACTCAACCACTCTTCACCTCGAAGCACGCACACAGCATCGCTCCCACGTGACCGTAGTCACCCAAGGACACACAGTCCTCCACAGGCTAGTCAACGCGTGACTTGCCTCGCGCGAGCCCTGCTCGCTGCTGCACCGTCGTGGCGCCAAGTTTTGGGACAACTGCACGAGGTTCTCCCATTCCTTCTCCCACTGGCTCAGTGCACTCCCTTATATACTCGAGGCTCACACCTACTACGTCACGCCGCCCCCGCTGCGCCCTTTCGCTTGCCATGAGATTTGGGTCTCCGTTCCTTAAGACCGGAGGACCCCAAAGCCTCGTCTCCCTTTGCCACGCGCTGACTTTTAGGAAAAACCCTTCTCTCCCTCCTGTGGCGAGGCGATTTCCTGTTACTAATCCCTTACTACGTGTCCCCAAATAGCTGCCACAAGGTTCGCTCGCTAGTACGTTACAGTTATTATTTGTTATACAAAATCGGTGCATTATTCAAAATCATAGCCGATCACACAATGCTTTGAATGCTGGCACGCGTGCGCCAAAAGTTTGCAGGTCTGAGAGACGATGTGTCCACACGCAGATTTAACAAAAGCACGTGAATAAACGCCAAGCATGTGACATTTAATTTTTTTTATTTATTTATTTTTTTTATTTTATTTTATTTTTATTTTTATTTTTTTTGTAATATTAAGCCTTTGTACAAAGATTCTAACGTTTGTACATGTTGACAACGTAATTGTTACATTTCAAGAAAGAGGACCATTGGGCCCTGTATTGGTTCTATCTACCATATTGATACAGATTATAGTAATGTGAATCTTCACAAAGAAAATCCACGAACGTATTTCCTTGAGAAGGTGCCTCAAATGCAGCGCTTCTTGCCTAAATCTATGATATTTCATGATGATGAATGCAGAACTTTACATTCGAATCAATAACTTAAAATGGAAATGACACCAAGTGTAGAAAGATCATACAATAACAATTCAATCGAGTTGAATGAAGAACCAGAAACCCACAGACTGAGACAAAAATATATTTAACACTTTGTTTCTTCAAGTGTAATAGAAGTTCTAAGAATGCTAAGTTCTCACGAAATGTTCCAGTTCATACTTAAGGGCAACATCGTCACACAAACATATTCATAAACATTGTTTTATCAACATGTTTATTCATGAATGCAATCTGAAATATTACGAAGTTTGATTTAATTTAATTAAGTACTCGAAAGATTGCGACTTATATCCGCCCGCTACTGCGCTCAAATCTTGGCAATGATTTTGACACGACAAACTTTTTAACGTAATATGCAGCATTTGGTGGGATACCCACATTCTTAGACCGTCAGCTCTCTAGTGGATATCTAAATAAATAAAAAAAACTTACCCTTAACGCGGGTGGGCAGCTCCGGCTTGGCTGTGGGTCGTTTTGTGGATGAGGCAGCGCTGGGCAAGGGAGGTGCTGGTGCTCCAGTGGGAGTACTAGCTCGAGGCACTTTGGAAAGCGCAGCAAGGCACCTGCAAACAGAAAATCCAATCAGACATTATTTCAGACATTTCATGCAAAAGCCATTCTACACTCCTCCTTTGGCTAGAATAAATGCCCTTTTGCATGCCTATTTTAGTAAAATTAATTGACATTTTGCCTGCCTCTTTTAGGTAAAGTCAATGCATAAAATTTAGGGCTCTAATTTTTAATAATATATACATATGATAATAATTTTACAAATTGCATCCTACTATCTCTTCAGCAATCACGTGAAAAACAATTAAGCAAAAGAAAGTGTAGAAGATTAGAACTTCCAATTTTCGAAGATTTACAATTTTATAAAGTTCACAGCATTTACTGAAAATCCGACTTGTACCATATAAGAAGCGCTCTATGCTCCACAAATGTACGAAAACATTTCCCCTGAGAAAGGCAAAAATCACAATCCAGCGTACAAATTGATAAGACATAGGTCTACCCTTCATCCACAAGGCCTGTTCATATCAGCATTCGAAAATTTGGACCAAACAAAGGGACAGTCGTGTTTTGTGGTTGAGGAATCGGAAGCTAGACAGCCTGATATTGTTAAAAATGTAAATGAAAAGAAAGATCATACCAGTAAAGTTGTTTTTTTTTTTTATGATACCGACAGGCTTTGTGCGTACACGAGGAATCCCATCCTACTTTTGAGTGTAGTCTCCGATCCTTTTGGAGAAAAGAGCTCTCTATTTGAGGCAACGTTAAAAGTTACATTGAGTGAACTCGCCTAACTCGTTACTTAGTGCTGACGATTACGCGAGAACGAAGAAAGAAAAATATAATTTCATTTTCACTGATGTCATTTCAAGATCCAAAATGTGGTCTGTTTCGAAAAGAGAGCATCGAGAATAAAACAAATTTGCAGTCATCATATTGAGTGGTCTTGTGCAATCAAGAGAATAAATAAAAGATACCTTACACATAGTGCTAATGAAAATTTTATTGTAATAAAAATATAAATCATGTCTATTATACATTCTTACTATAATTCCCTTTAAATGTGATTTTTCATTGATTTCACGCCCTACGGGCATAATAAATGCCTTTTTGCGTGCCTATTTCAATTTTTTTTTTTTTGTTTTTTCTTTCGCATCAGAAAAATGCATTTATTTAAGGTCAAATAAATGCCTGAACTACCAGGCTCTATTGATGATAAAGCATTAAAAAAATTGTCTTCAGACAAAATCTATATTTTCAATAGTGCAGTATTATGAGACCTTTGGTCTAGAAAAGAAAGAATTCAACCAAAAAAATTAAGAGCCATTTTGGTGAAAATTTTGAAATTTTGTTATGGCTTAGAGCATAATAAAACAAAATATCCATTTCAGAAGACAGTCAGATGGGCAGTCATACAGACTCTCTCATTCGCTCTCCCCCCCCCCTCCCTCGCTCGACCAACCTCGCCTTCTCGAAACGTCTGCCGCAACAATAGCGCGTAAAGCTTTCAGTGGATTTTGACCACAACCGATATGTCCCGACTGATCTGGCTGATGACGGTCCCTTCGAATTTTGAACGATATTTTAATTTGGTGGGGGCGGAGGGATTCACAAGACGACCATAGGAGATTTTTGAATTTTTCGCAGACGTGCAAATTTTCCTTTAAGTTTTTTGCTCCAAATCGAGTAGAATTCTGTTAATAAATGACTTATGTTCCATGTGCACTAAAATCTTTGAAATTTCATAAAATACACAAGGTCAAATATCTTTTCGATGTTTCTGGAGTGTATATATAAGCTGGCTGAGGAAACGGTAAGAAGATTGCTCGGGGAGTCTGTGGGCCTCTCAAGTTCGAATCACAGCCTGTACAAGTATTTTTGCGATTAAAAACACTAACTCACATAAGAATTTGCCAGTTATCTTTGAATATTATTATGCGATGTAGTACACGTCATAATTTCATAGATGGAGTACACAGAAATTCGGAAAAATAAATCTCAACACTAATGCAATGACAATTTCTGCAAAGTGTAAAAATGTAATATATATTTCGACACAGTCATTAACAAAAAAAGTAAACAAGACTCGGTAACCAATGAAATTGACTGAAGTAACGCAAATAAATTATTTATGGAAAACTCTTGCACTAATTGTAAATGCCTTGCAATTTTTTCATTGTAAAATATCACTTTTCATACCTGTTATTAAGATGATCTTGTAAGTCACCTCGCTGAATAATTTGTTGGCAAGAAGGGCTATTGGGACATCTAACAGTCAATTTTTCCAAAAGTCTGAAAACAAAGAGAGACATTTTTATTACAAAATAAATCAATAACGATAACACATTAAGATATGCCTCAATTTCAAGAACATAAAATACGAGAAATCAATAAACAAACAAAAAAAAAAACATAATTCCAAAAATGTTATTTCCACAAAATACTTGTCTACTTTAATTTGCATTTTTAAACTCGGGTAAACACTAGTGGAGTCAAAAATGTATGGAAACGTAATTCCACTGAAACTAAAGGATTAAAATAGTATATATTTATACTATAATTCAAAATTCGGTGTGTGATGAAACATGACCATTCCCTGTAGTAATATAGAATTGAGAACTTTGTCAATTCAGCTAAATTTCTCCTTAAACAGTTTACAGCAAGAAGGCTGTCTAATTTCTGAACAATAAAAAATCTGGTCATTTTTTGGACTTACTAAGGACAAGAAATATACGAATACATGATAATACAACTTTCACATGTGCATTAGGGCATCTCAACTGGAAAGCATTAATTTTGCCCCAAAGCTAAAGAAGGAGCTAAAATTATAAATATTAAAATTAAATTGATTTCTGTTACAGGGCGCGTCAATTGGTAAGGTCATTAGTCCCGTTAGTGTAGTGCCTGATATTTGGGGATGTGGCGATTATTTTCTTCGCTGGTGGTGAGATCCGGCGCTGACCTACTCGTCAACTTGTGAGGTTTTCCCCAAGCAGGCATCTCCCATCAGCAAAGCACCACCTCAGCCGAGACAAACTCTAAGCTCCTGACTGGTCTTTCAACATGAGTGGTAGTGTACTTCATGTAAAAGCATGTAGAAATCAGGGAGTGGAGATAGTACAAGGAAGAGGAGGGAAGGATCGCTCGCGGTCCGTGGCCCGATTCTTAGGGTACTGCACCGACATTCGCTTGGTGTTGATCGGAGATACCACGGGAAACTAGCGATCATAGCCAACCGCTAGATTTTTTTCTATACGACTGAATTTGACCTAACTATGTAGGTAGTGTCTTAAATCCTGTCATCATCGGGACTCGAACCCTAGGACCTCCCGATTAAAAACACTGCAGTAACATTAAGTGATGCCCTGAGCCACCTAAGTCAGTATAAAATTAAAATATTTCATATTATTATTGTTGTTATTGTCATTCATCAATAAACCTACATTTGTATTTGATTTATGTCAACAATTTTTTAAAAAACATTTTTTCTCTTCTTTGTTACTAGTGCAGGATTAAATATGCCATATGCCAATGTGCAGGATAAAGCCATATGCCGAACTACTTTTATATTTTGCAATTATTTATTAATAAATGAATCGAACTAAATGTTTTATATGTAGTAAATATATAATATCAAAACATATTTCATATAACAAAGTTCACTTTCAGTAAGTAAAGTAAATTACTACCCGGAGTCAATGGGTTTCATAATTTTAGCAATGGGGTCTACGGAAGAAGAAAAAATTGGGAATCCTTGATTTAGAGGGAAATTTTTACTACTGGAACATATTAGTTATATCATGAGTCGTGTTTTATTATAGAACAATTGAAAAATCTTGAAAGTTTGACATATTTTCAAAACCGAATGCAGAAGTGTTCAAAACTTGACGATCAATTAATTATGTACTGATTTTCACGTTGTAAAGGCACAGTGGGTCTTATGGAGAATCCGCGCGGTGTCGCCGACGCGATACGTCCGCTTGCCCGCTCGCTTCAGAATACGCGGTCAAAATAACGGCTACCTTCCTCAATATATGCATACACTAAAAAAAAATTGTTTATTCGCGCACTTATCATAGGCATAATATTTTATTAAAGTAAATATCTAAAACACAGGGATACTTTTCACGTATTCTCTTATAAAATGAAAAAAGTAATCGTAAATTATTGATTGTGAAATCAGAATTGATTAATTATTTTACGCAAAAACAAAACACTACGACCAACACTTATCCAACTTCATATGTTCCTTTTTTCATTTCTAACTGCCGCATTTATCGTGAATGAATATCAGTACAATATATCATTTCGGTATATTTTCGCTTTTCAGATTCAAATCCCACTTTAATGAATCATCAAAAAAATGCAGAATATTTGAAATTTGGTAAACGTTTATCACTAACATATAACATTACACACGATTGTTGCAGGAATATTTTAAAATAGAAACGCATGAAATTTGAGTATGTACAAAATCGTCGTACCGCAATACCCCTACTGACTTTATACTTGAATCCAGTTAACTTTATTTTCCTCGGTGTCGGTGTTTCTCCATTCTCATATCCCGTTTTCATTCTAAAGAAGGAATGTCTGAGGATGTCGGTGGCTCTGCAAAATTCATTCAAACGATTGACTTCGTTTATGAATGTTTTCCTTTTAGGTTCTCGAATATTTTGAATTTTTTCCACTTTTAGTTATTTCACTCTTTTTCCCTGGGATCCATTTTGATCTCCAAAAACTGACCCACTACACGAATCACTAAATTCCGTACATACTTTGCTTCACAACTGCAAAACCGCCATCTTCACTAGCATCAAGAAGCAAAAATTACCGTATGTAAATTGCGGATCAAATAATCCCTTGATCATTTCCCGCGAAACTTACTTTCTAATTCCACATGTAAATTGCGGACCAATCCAGGTATAGTAAAAAAGACTGAGCAGAAAAGCACGTTACGGGGGGGGGGGGACGCCGCCACCGCCGCCGCGCTGCTGTTCAGAGTTTCCTGGTGGCTTATTAAAAATCTTCCAGATTAGCTCCTAAACCAAAATGAAAAGCAAAGAAAACACTAGTGTGTTCAAATTTCAAGTTCGGCGTTATAGAATATTAGCTGAGAAAATGAAAGAATATAAAATGGCAAGAAAAGCAGAATTTATTCAATCAACGAATGATTCTATTAAATGAAAACCAACTTTAACCAAACCATATTTCGAACGAAATATGCCAGTCTTAAGTCTGGAAAATTGGGGAGGGAGTTGTGTTTTAAAACGAATGGCAAGAAAATGTTCTTCGAAAATCACGTGTCACCTTCCACTTTTATCTGGAAGGAGATGAGGTGGTCGGTGCGCAATTTACGTATGCCCCTCTCTGGTTCGGTCCGCACTTTACACATGGGTTAAACTCCCCACGTGGGTTATTTTCCTTCTGGTCCGCCATTTACTTGCCCCAAAAAAAATCGATTGACCAGAATGTCTAGCAAGATTAAATTCTCGACAGGACTTTTTGTGATCGAGAATCGATTTGGATAGTCCCTTCCGCTGATGACATCTTATAAACAAACATTTCCTTTCAGCCCTATGGGTTACACATGCTGCATCTGTAAATTGTTTTTTCGTCGTGACTCCCGTCGAGCTTCATGTCGCGCGCGGCTCGACTTCAAAACAAACATTAAATACACAGAAGTAATGAATTCGAAGACCTTCGGGTGACGATAATAAATTATTTCATCATTTTACCAAAACTTTGTGGCTGTAAGTTTTTAATTGGACACACATTTTCGTTGACAATTTTTTGAGAGAGGCCCATTTTGACAAATAGACCAAATGAAAGCATTTCCCCCAGCTAAAGTAAATGAAATATTGAATCGATTTTTTCCAAAATAATTCCATCAAGTTTTTGGGTGTTTTAACAGTCTGAATAAAAAGGCGTTTAAAAAGTCAGTTTCACAGAACTTCAACGTTTTCAGTATTTTATTTAAAAAGCAAATGAATGACACATTTTTCATTAATAGCACAATGTTCCTTGTTATTTTCTATACAGGACTGTTTTTTTCTATTTACTTTTGCAACAACCGATTAGGCAACACTGCACGAGATTCTTCCATAAGAATAACATTGTCCGTAAAAGCCTATTGTGCCTCCACGACGTGAAAATGAGTATAGTTTTGTTCAGTTTAGGTCAATAATGTACAATTGAGATGGCGATAACCTGGCCGTACGAGTAAAAGGTACATTGCAAAGCAGAATTTTTTTTTAAAAAGTGGATTAAGTCTTGAGACAATTAATATTGCATTCAGAATGAATGTATAAAAAAAAAACAATGTTTGTAAAGTGAAATATGCAGGGAATATAGTTCTCAAGCCACAAATTATTCACAAAGATGTTGAAATTCTAAGGGTGTAATCATAACTACAGTACGTGATTTAAGAATCCAAGCAAGTACAAAATTATTTTCCAATGTATAATTCTCCTTTTCAAATCAATGAATTGTAACTGATACAAGATATATCACTTAAATCCATGGTTGCTGTATTTTTTTTACAAAACAAAATCATAGGTATTGGCACACTTCTACCAGAAAAATACCTACATGTTTTACTTCTACAATTTACTATTCATAATGTAGATAATGTAATAACAAAAATATTTAGATGCATTCTGAAAAATATGAATATGAACACATTAGAAGGAGAAATAATAATAATAATAATAATAAAATAATAATAATAAATATAATGAAAAACATGTAATTGAAAATAAAGGATAAATCATAAATAGCAAATTGATTATTTCAGAAGCAGATTATAGTAATAAATTTGCACTTATTTAATAATTTTACATGTGCACAGAGATTGTGTAAAACAATATTCTCCTCATAATGTGTTAAATTATTAAATTTTATTGTTTAATAATTTGAGAGAAGTAATTGTAGATCTCCCTCATTCTTGTTCTGAGTGTAAAATGACTGAACCTAACAGGGCACAACAGCAATATTCCTTGAAAAGATAGTCTCTAATCTTATTAAAATTATATTGCAACAATGACAGCAAGAAAACAGTTAACCCCAACTTCTAAAACTTTGTTTACTTCTCTTCTTTCCAGTACCATGTGTGTGAGCAATAATAGAACCAAGTATTTGCCGTATACCAGTCATTATTAAGCCTCTTTAGGAAATAACATGATTAACTACAGCAACCACAAAAGTCTCCTGTTAATCGTAAATGTTTATTTCTTGATTCTAATCAAAGTGTACCTCGTATTTTTACTTCCCCAAGCCCATCATATATATAGTGATCTTGCTGTGGTAGGTATGGCTGATCTTTTTATGACCCAGAGCCATTCAAAACTGCAAAATAATAAATATAATATACATATATAAAATACATGAAAGGTAATCTCTCCTAATAAATAATCTTCTAAAATTTGGAAGTGCACAATCAAAACAATAAAGAAATAGAATTTGAAGAATGGGAATTAGATGTTTAATATTAATATAAATTCTTCCCATACATTTTCAAGGATACAAGAATTAATAATTTAAATAATTATCTCTCAAAACAACACTTCTTGTCATGACACTACAACCCTACGTGGGTCTCGGCCTGCTCGACAATCTTCCATCATTTCTGTCCATCTTGAGCCATCATCTTCCAATTCTTGATTTTTATTTTACATAGTCCTTCCATAAAATCATCTTTCTATTTCACTTTTGGTCTGCCTGTACACCTTATTGCTATTATACTCCAATCTTTTATTTTCTTATTGATTCTATGTATAAGTTTCATTGAGCCAAAGATTTTCCGCCAACAAAACAGGATACTACTTACAACAAATATGAATGAGTAGCAATAACAGCAAGAAAGGAGATGGACAAGACACATTTTACAATGTATGAAGAGAGGCATTGCAAATTTTATTAGGGAGTTCAATTTAAAGACAAAAATTTCTGGCCACATGATTTGGCAGGCTTACTTTGTATCATACAATTTCATTGCAGAAAAAAATAAATGAACAATGTTCAAAATATACAATGGAGTTTTGAAAAAAATGGTAACTCTACAATGACCAGAATTTGGTCATGATTCGAAAGTATAAAAGTAATGATCAGTGCTCTTCGTAAATTGGTGAAAAAAGCAGAAAATAAATCTACATTGACCACCAAAGAAAATAGGATTTTGGTAATTGAATTTTTTTAAAACATTTTTTGTAGTTACTTATGTATATTTTCTAAAACTCTAGTTCTGCAATCTGCTTGTGTAAAGTACTGAAAATTGTGGATTCACAATATTATTCCTTGTGCCAATCATAATGCATATTTACAGGAAATTTCATTATGTCTACAGCATCAGTAAAATACCCATCATGATTCTTCAGGCAATAACTCAACAAATACATTTAAGATTTATTTTCTTTTCAATTTCTAATGGCAAATTTCCAGAATTATTAGTGTCTGAACTTTACATTCACTCTTTCAGGCACTACTTATAAAATTGTTGCTACTTCTGTAAAAATTCATTTGGTCTCAAATAGTGGAAAAACTACTAACAGAATAATTAAGTAAATTAATGTCTTGGAAAATAAGTCATCCATTGAATTGGGTTTTTATTTTTGCTACTGAAAGGAATTATTTTCTTTCCTATAAAATTTCAAACTTGATATAAATGTTGTAATTAACTTGTTTATTTCTCATTTGGGTGTGAACTCCATTTTTCATATCAGATTTTTTTAAACTTCTTATTTACATTTATTTATTATGGATTAAATATTCTTTGTCCTCTTTAATAGTAATAACTGAAACAGTTCAATTATTTTACACACAAACTGAGAAGACCTAAAAAAATAGTGCAAAATTCCCTGAATAATACAATATACTAAATTTTTATTTCATTAGCCATTTATGGATAAGCCTTATGAGGCTGTTGTCTATTAAGTTAATACAAGACTCCATGTTGGGCCTACTCACAAAGTAACACACAGGGCTTTAAGAGAAGAACACATGAACACGACATGAACACAAAATTCATACTGTTATTCACATTAATGAAAACATCTGAGATACAAATTACATACACAAAAAGAACAAATTATGATTTTGATAGCAAAACGAAAATGAAATTGTACACACGCATTCTCAAATAAAATAATTAACTTTTCAATAAATTTACATTTCTTTTTTCTTTCTTTTTTCTCTGAAGTGTCGTATTACTCCTTCGATACCAACATGAATATGAAAGGTTGCAATATGCAATCTTTCATGTTCATGCTTGTCATTAGTGTTCATATTAATGTTAATGAAAATCATTTTAAAGAATCCAAATGCCTGATTGGAAACTTGTTTGTTTAAATTATGCCTAAAGAAATATATGTCTGAATAGGGCCTAAGTAATGGATCGGTGATCATCATGTTTGCTAAAGGTTGACGTAGACGTGAGCTAATTAACAACTACAAATGAAGAATACATTCGTACGAAGGATAAGATAAGCATAAGAATGTAATGAAGCTTCCCACAACCCAGTTTTTTACCTACTCCTCTCTTGGTGTCCAATACTGATAGTTGAATTGTCAACATGCTGTTTGCTACAATAGAGATGAAATAAACTTCTAAACAAGGAGGGTGGGGGTATGGAGAGGGAGGAGGAAGAGAATCAGTTTGTATGTATTTATTTATTATAACTTTGTCTTACTTTAATACTCGAATGAATAATGAAATACGTATGACATTATTATTATTATTATTATTATTATTATTATTATTATTATTATTATTATTTTACGTTAAAAGATACATAAGACACTACAAGGAAGAACGTACTCAGCGCACAAATCTGTGGTTGAGAAGCCCAAGCTGAGGGAGACATGCGCCTCTGCCACTTACTTGCGGAGGACAATGCTGGACGGCACGCAGAGCTGCGCGCTCAGGGGCTTGCGGTCGATGGGACAGACCTGTTGCACGCGCAGGTAGTTGTGCAAGCAGGCGCCGCAGAACGTGTGGCCGCACGGGATGTCAAGCGGCGTCACGAAGGGCTGCAGGCAGATGTGGCACGTGAGGTCCTCGTCCACCTCTTGCACGTAGTCGTAGACGTGCGGCTCGTGGGCGGCGTGCGCTTGCCCGCAGCTCCGGCACCCTCCGCTCTCCATTGTGGCATTACCTTGGTCCGAAGTCTACCTCATTCTCCCTGCAACATAGAGCGGCCCCCCGCACGTCAGCACTCCCGCGCACCACTCGGCTCCGCGCCGCCAAGCTACCTGCCTCAGCTGCGCGCGCCGCTCTCGCCCCCGCTCATTGTCGCGCGAGCTTTCAGAAAATCACCATTGTCAACTTCGGTGCCACTCCGTCCTCACGTAACGCTATTGTGTGTGTTGCAGCCGGCGGTACCTCTCGCTCGCCTTCCTCTTTCCGGCGCGAACGCACGCCACTCGCTCACAGAGACGCGACGGCGAAATATCCCCTAATAAGAGTTTCTAACCGCTTCGCGGATCTCCATGAGCAGCGCCCGAACACTAATAATCTGTGCCCATGCGGGAGCAGTCCTAGGGGGATTTGGCAAAGGCTCCCGATACTCAGGCGTAGCGGCGGATGTAGCGCTCCGAGACTTTCGTTTTCCCCTCGAGGAGGAGGGGCACGGTGCGTAACGCGTTCCACTCCGGGGCGCCGTCGCGCCATGCGTTCCAGCACGCGTGCTACCGCCAGCGCCCCCGCGGGCCGCGAGGCGCGACCGGGGCAGGAGGAGGAGCGTTTCCTGCACAGCTTTTGGCACTCCGGGCCAACGCACGTGGTGCGAGATCGAAAACGACGCGCTCTCTCAATTGCGCAGACAAAGGATATTAAAAACGGAAAACCCTTGTGACTGCCATCATTTAACGGGCAACTAAGAAAACATTGATGCGAACTGATGACAGAAAAAAGTGTGAATTTATCACTAGTTTTGTTTCCGAATGTCATCCGACATCTTCAATGCTTTTCATTTCGCAAGCTCCATTCTTTAAACATAGGCAAACAGCGGAGAAAGGTTAATTTCCATTAATTATCGAGAAAAATATGAATAATATTGCAAACAATTGTGTAATACTGCCAACAACAATTGTCGTATGTAACATTGTTTATGAAAAATGGCAAAATATATGTATTTGGAAATTCAGTGTCACATTATACTTTTGCCAGCTAACGGTGTCCCCAGGTATGGTTTTCTCTATCCACTCTTGTAATTAAGGGAGACATGTGGTGAGCAATAAAATACCCAAAGATGAGCTTTGTTTCATCACACAGCTATAGAAACTGAGACGATTTGTATTATAAACTTACAGCTTCGTTTTTGCCCCGGTCGGGAATCGAACCTGGGACAGCCTCACAGAAAGCTAGTACGCTGACCGAGCAATCCGAGGGGTATTTATGAAAAATAATTTCTATAAATTTACACTACACATCTTCCCGCCTACATTATGTAATTTGAAAGAAAATTTGTTTATCTATCTTCACAATAATAGCAAATGAATAGTTCAGAGATTCGCGACATTAACAATTATTCGAAACTGCCAACAAAACTAGTTTCAACTCTGGAAATCGATCTGTCTAAAAACGAGATTCTATACTGACAGAAAACGTTTATAATTTCGAACATTTTGTAATCTTAAAACTGTAATTTCACTTATCGCACAATTCAACAATCAACCTGAAATAGAATTGCAAAAGATACCATTTATGAAATTGCACGAAAATGAGTTTAAAACGCTCAAAAAGTGAAAATTGACTTCGACTGTGGATGTCGAAACCGGCGCGGTAAAATGTGCACTCAAGCATCAAACGTGCGGCGAAGCGCGGGTGCGTGAGGGAACGGACATGACATACACGCACAGAAATTAATGAAATGTAACTCCGCGAGGAAGGAAAATTTATCACGCGTTACTTTGTACATTTCTTTTTTTGCGCCGAAGCTCAGCACCAATTCTCAACGCCTTTCAACGACGAAGCCCTCCACGAAGCTTATCGGAACAATAGCCATGAAATTTTAGAAAAATGCATATATTTCAGTTTTGACTTACAATTTACTCGGATATTTGTTTATTTACAAAACGTCGTAAAATGCTTTAAAAACTATGTATAATACATAATATAGGGTACAGTACGATTTATTTAGTCGAGCACTTTTTAAACGTAATTTTTTATTTATTTAGACGTAAATCAGCTGTTGCCGTTTCATCTAATTGCGAGCTTATATGTCGCTGCAGTAACATCACAGGGGACGTTCATGCTCCCGATTGAATGAAACCGTGAACACCTGATTGACATCAAGGGCACATGATTTAAAAAAATCCTAGCATAGAAGTGCAATCTCTGCACGTTTTCTTGAGCTCTGGGATCCCTACCCCTCAGCTCCTGTACTAGCTGTATGTGACATCGCCGATGATTTTACCATTTTAATAAATATCATACAAATATTTTCAAGTGTTGAAAATGTATACTATACATGTTCTAAATAATCTTCTGGGCGGATTCGCAAACAAATCATCCGTACCCCCACCACACGACGCGTCAAATGACACCTTATGATGAGGAAGGGAACATCGTGCGCGGGCTATCACCCGTTTGTTAGGATATTGCTCCGGCATTCGCCTGGTATTGATCGGCGAAACCAAGGGAAACTAGCGATCAGAGTAGCTGACCGTGCAAATTCGCTTCCAGATAGTGGTGGAATTCGACCCAGCAATGTCGCCAGTGTGGAAAATCTATCACCGTCGGGACGTGAATCTAGCACCTCCCACTCAACAACACTAGAGACAAGTGTTTCCACTGAGCCATCGCAAACGCCTTTTCAGGATCAAAGGTGCCCCGTTTTAGAATTATGCAAGTATGTCGGACAATACCATTAAGTGATCGAGTGTTGCAGATTGCTGATAAGACACGTTTCTTCAAACAATTATCACGTTTTGAGCTACACTGTGCACACATTTTATTAGATGAAAGATTATCGGGCGAGTATGGGTTTGCTCTAAATCCTGGTTTGGACATAGTTATCAAGTATCCTCTTGTTAAAACTTTCTTCAAGTTTGGGCATGCATTCGCGATGACTCTTTCTTGGAGAAATTTGATTTATTTGTTAGAGATAACGTTCAAGTTATCCGGCCGATATTTCATACTCGCAGGGAAGGAATATGAAGTGAAGACGCGATTAATTCTTGAGGGTGCGGCGGGTTGCGTTCTTCTGTTTAGGGGAGCTTCTGTTTAGGGGAGCTTGGGTCAGCATAAACGCATAAAATCAACGCGCGTCTATGTGTGACAGATATACGCACATTCCCATTGTACTATGCCTATATTTTTTCGCGCAAGTACAGGCAATAAGTTCACAAAGTTTTACCGCAATCGAATGAACGGTACGACAGCGCAATAAATACCAACCAATAAATATTTATACAAGGGTTATACATGAAGGATATATCAAAAGGAGTACATATACATTTTGATATACCCCTTATATCAACACACTATAGAAATAATCTGTATCAAGTAACTCAGGAACTCTGTGCCGCACAGATGCAGACCTGTGGATGAACACAACCGCTTTACGAGCTGCTATTGCGAATGCTAGATAAAGAGCACGACGCCGAGCGAGAGGGCAAGCCATTACGTCGAGGGTGGGGGTTCGGAGATTATTTTGATGATTCCAACACCGTCTCGTTATAGTATGCTTTAGTCCTATTTACACACAACAACAAAATAAGCAATTAAATAATATTTTGACGTAGTTAATCGTTATTCACATTGCTTTCCAATGTGCCCAGAAGTTCAAGCAATAAACAAAACGTTCCAACAAATGTGCATTTATTTGCAACAAAATACATTGAAAATAAACATACTTTAACTGAAAAATGTTATATTGATATTAATATTTATTAATTTCTGAATTTTGACGCGATTTCTCATTTTTGTCGATAACTAATTGCTTCAATGTTTCGTTTCATAATATGACTCAGTATTAACCATAATTTAAATTCTAAATGAGAATCAATGTAAATATTACTACTAGACTTCCAGAGTTTTAAAGCGGACAGTATCTGTTCGCTCACCAAAGATCGTGACATCGACAATATTTCTACAACTATAATCAGGCGCGGATAATTTCCTGTCTGGAAGTTCCCGGAATTAATGATTGCCGAATACCAATTTATAATTTACTCTTAACTCTAATTTCGCACTGCAAGTCAATAATTTCCTATTGTAATGAAATGTCAACATCACGCGGCTTAATAGAAAAGGTATTGGCATATACATCCAGTTTCCTTGAAGACCTCGTGGAAAGAATATCTGTTAAATTTTCATCACATTTTTTTAAAAAATATTGACAGATAATTGATTGTATTCAGGGATTCACTAGTTATGAATTTCCTGGTCATAAAGCGGCAATGCATTATTAAAAAGATATCTTTATTTCACAACGTTAGCGTAGTTCGAATGAACATATTTGCATAAACAAGGAAATATATTGAAGTGGTTCCCTATTAAGTGAATTGTATGGGCAGGTATGTAATAAACGTGCACGTTGCTACTACTAACTGAATACTTGTTCGGGCCGTTTTTCAATAAGCGCTTCTATGCAGCATACAAAAAGGTGTTAGGCGCAAACAAGCATTTTTCTCGGTGTAGTCTTATTTCTGACAATCGCGTCTAAAAAACGACTGACTACAATTTAGGTAAAATGAGATTCATGAAAGAACATTCATTTGAAAACTGTTTTGCATACATCATTTCCACGATGACATTAAACAAACACTTCCATTATGTCTTGTATAACAATACCGCATCTGTCTTTCGCATGTGTTGGACGATCGCCGCGCGCTGCTCAACTCAAAACACACTGCAAAAGTCGAGAAGTAAAGAATGCGGAGACCTTCGAATGGTGATGAAAAAATATCCACAAAACTTTGTCGTTAGAAGTTTTTACTGGGGTTTCCAAGAACTAAAATCTGTAGTGTGAAATACCACGAACGATGTGCGAAACATCTTTCGCACACGGCGTATTAAAAACACTATACGCATCAAATGAGCGAGGTGATTCGCGCAGTTGTTACGTAACTTACTATTTTACAAGAAGTATTTTTACATAAACAGATTGATAGTTTTCCATGGTTTCTCTGATCAATACCAGGCAAATGCCGGAGCAATACTGTAACAAACGGACAA